AAGAGGATCCAGAGGATTACCCAAGAAACTGTTAGGATTAACGAGGGAATACAAAACACTGTTCACACACAAGAAGTTCAGTAACTTTCTTCGATCCCAGAAACAACCAAATGGAAAATGTATTAGAAAAAATAGCTCACAACAGCAACAGAAATGTAGAGTGTCTGGTAATAAACTTAATGAAAATGTGCAAAGATGTGAAGAAAATTACAAGACCTTTCTTTAAAATTGTTAAGAAAAAACAGTTGCTGTCTTTATAACCTTGGAGATGGTAAAAGCCTTCTTAAAGGAGATATAAAATGACATACATCATAAAGCAATGAGATGAAGCTATGTCTGTAATGGCACCTTATAATGAGATCTGACTAGGTGGATCTAAAAGTCCATAAATTTTTAAAAAAATATCTGCATTGTTGGTATTTCACTGTTTTATATGCTCAAGACAACTGGCATTTGTCATTTTTGCACAATGCTAATTCCAGAGGAAGGCTTTATAATATCTTGAAGCTAAATTTGGGTTCTTGAAATTTCAATCTTTAGCAGAAACAAACTGATTTTTAACACAAGCCAAGGTGTAGTAACAAAACTGGAAAAAAAAAAAAAAGTCCAGACTCAAAAGTTCTAACTCAGGATAATCTTGGAGAGTTTTTTAAAATCAAGAATAAGACTCCTTAGAGATGATGACATGCCTGAGAAGAGGATCTATATTAAAACATGTATAATTTTATTAAAAACAGAAGCAAGCGACATCATATGTATACTTAAAATTCTTTTTTCCAAAGTCAAAAAGCATTTCTTCTAAAATGTGATTCTCTTTCACTAAGCACTTCAAAGAGCCTTAATTAATTTTTGAGATTCTAACTGACCTAAAGGCAAGTCTTAAATGATATTTATTTGAGAGTATAAATGGAATGACATTTTGGGAGAGCCATTTGAAAATATCTAGCCAAAGCCTAACATTCATACTCCCAGGCTAAGCAAATCTAGTTTTAGAAATTTATCCTGAGAAAAATGGGCAATGACATAGATACAGGGATATTCCTTTTGGCACTGCTTATTATGTTAAAAACTGGAAAGAGCCTAAATATAAAATAATGAGGTCAAGTAAATTGTGGTTCATTATATAATGGAACTACTACATAATATATTAAAATTATATCAGAATTATGTATAAGAAGTCACTATATATTGCTAAGGGAAAAAAACCCACCAAGTTATAAATATAAATGTAGTAGTACTATATGATCCCAATTCTGCTTTAAATGTATATGTGCATCCACATGTATAATTTATAATATAAACATGTTTAAATATTTAGTATAAATTGTTATGTGCAAATTAATAGTATTAATCTTTGAATCTGAGATTAATAAGCAAAAGCAAGAGAATATTCTAAGGAGAAGGGGGTCATGTACCAATATGGTGTCTACACTGAACTATGTCTCTGGTTGATTTTTGCTGATTTCTTTTGAAAGGTCTGGTAATCTAATTATTCTATAGTCAATTTTTTTACTTATATAATAATCATTAAATATTTAATTGAGGCAACCATGCAATTGTTAAGGTTTCTCAAATTTTTATAATATTGAATACTATATATACGATGGAGAAATATGGTGGAGGGGAGAGAAAGGAAGAGAAAGAGGAGAATGCAGATAGATCATCATATGATTTATTGTTTTATCATGTATATTTGTTGAATATATACATATACAAAGTTTTAAGACAATTTTAGACTTGATAATCTGGAAAAAAATTTTCAATAGAATATATTACTGAATAGTTAATGTTCTTAAGATTTCAGTCTACTCTTACAGATCTAATTTTTTGTATAAAGGAACAGGTGGCTTTCTCTTTTATATGTTTCTCCACTGCCTTGTTAGCTATAGCTCAAAACTTGTTTTCTGAGCTCATCAAGCTTTATCTAACCAAACCCAAACTGGCATATGGGTTTCATCCACAAGTTCATATGAATCCTTTGGCTGATGACTTCTGCCATGTGTCTAATCATTTTATAAAATCCATGCTTGGATCTGATGCAGTGGGACTAAGGAATACAGTGGCATAGAGACTGCTCCAGCTGCTAAACTAGAATTTAGTGCCATCAATGCCACCAAATATTGGCGATATATATCTGGACGAAGGAAGGATACTAGTAATTGTGAGTAAAAAATTTGTATCATGCATTTCAGCTTAGATCTACTAATAACACTTCTTTAAATGCCTTGTTAGACAGTGAAATCTGGGAATAATTATCAAGCACCATACACACTGTTTACAATAGAATCAGATTTCTTTTCTTTTTCTCCCCCTCCCACTCCCCCCCCCCTTTTTTGCATAAAAAGTAGAATGCTGCTGAATGGTACCCAAATGTCTGTTGTATACCATGCCAATACAGCAGCCCAGCCAAAAATGCAAATAGAATAGTTTGCCAAGTAAAAGAAAACATAACAAACTGGTAATGGTTTCTATCTTGACAGAAAATGAAAATGATCCCTCAATGTGTGGCCACTCATGCGGACACATAAAAACGTCTTAGAAGCAATCATTTTACCTCAGATAACAGACTCTGACAGTGTAGTTCAGCACACTGGCTGTCTGACTTCTTAGAAAAATGGCAACCATGACCTACAAAATAGTCTGGGAACCATGTAATTTATGCATAACACACATGCACATGCCATCCACTCATAATATTTGCTATAAATAATTTTGAATACAAGACTCCTTTCCTGAGTAGAATATACTTTATGAGAGAAGATATAAATTGCCAAAGACTTGATAAAGCTGAGCTGGTTTATTTATGATCAGAAATGATATTGCTTATAATGTTATAAAATTCCAATGGTCTACATTGCAATAAGAAGGCATTACATAAGGTACCTATGTATTCTATATGATTCTGCACAGTGCCTTGAACACTACAGGTATTTTTATTAGATGTCAAATAAAAAAAATACCCAAATTATTCTGGAGGCACACAGTATATAGATCTGACTTTCTGTTTAGGAGACTGCAACTGAAAGCAGAAGTGAACCCCCTAAAGACCTGCTAATGGTTCTTTTAACTTACTTCCCCCTCTTTTATGACGTTTTTTTTTCTTCAGATGAAGAATTAGCCAACACTGACTAGTGATTGTTTTCCCCCCATCTGGCAAAGATTTCCCATTTGTTCAACTTTCTAATAAGGTTGTTAGGTGGAACATTGATTGTATGATCAAATCCCACCAAAAATAAGAATGGCACTTTTAAAAATACATAATTGATATGTGAAGATAATGAAGAATTCAAAATGTGAGAATACTGAGCCAAGGGGCTAGGAAGAACCTTGGGAAGTAAAATGATCTTGCCAAGTTGAAAATAAACTTGAATCCTGTGGGTTATGAGTTTCAAATGAAACTTCTGGGGTTTGAATTTGTTGGTGACTTTTCTGTTCAATAAAAAAAGGCTTATATGGCTTATAAAAAGGTTAAAAAAACTTATTGGGCATCAAACTGCTCTTACAAAACACCATCTTGATGAGTTAGGTGTAAATGAATCAGAAACACATGGGTTATATTTCCTTAAAAAATGCATATGGATTCAAAAATAAGGGGAAGAAGACTTGGCAAAACATTTTTTGTGTGTGTGGTGGCTGAACCCAAAATATTTGAAAGATATTTTGAGATATTCAAGGAATCCAAAATAAAAAAGCAGAAAGTTCTTTTATGCAAATATGCATTTATCTCTATGGGTCAATCAACATTCACTGAGCCTTCATCTTTGGCCTGGAACTATGGAAGGAACCAGCTTCTGTCTTCAAGAAACTTTAAATTTAAACATAAATAAATACATAAGTAAAAGAAACCTGTCACAAGAGATAGAGGATTTTATAAAAATTGGCATCATAAACCAGATAGCTTGGAAACTATATATTAATTGAGAAGTACACAAGTGCTTTCAGGGTTCTATGTCTTCATTCCATTCAAATCATAATCCTCTCAGCCCTTTTACTTAAAGTTATATGCAGTTGCAGAATCTTATTAGTTTAAATGTTTCCCTAATAAGTGTTTTTATGTTTTTTAAATGTGTGTCCCAGCCCTCCTTCCTCCAACCTCAGATTTGTGAGTGCTCAACAAATCATGCTGACTGGTTTCCTGGAGGATGGGAGTGTTGAACAGTTTAAAATAGAGGAGATGCTGTTTGGCAGGGGACTCTGAGGCCATGATTCTGGGTTGGGGTAATGGCATATTTGATGGTTCAGAGGGTGAGTCATGAGTGTATGTGTGGGGGGATACCCTGGCTTGTCTGCAACAACATGCCTGAGCCAGGATGTAGAGGGAGGTGGAGGCAGTTAGGTGTGGGGAGGCCTAATATACTGCATGTGAAGTCAACTTGAGGACAGAGGGTTGTGATAAGGGAAAACATGATTCTTATTCTTTTTTTTTTTTTTTTTTTTGCCAGCATAGGATAAAGTTCTAAGCATAGGACACGTACATGTCGTTAGTTTATTTCTTATCAGTGTCTTTAAGAGCTGAAAAGTATTCAAAGATAAAAATAAGATTAACTATGTATGTGTTGCTAGGAGCCTGTAGATCATAAACTTGAAGAGGAAGTTAGAAGGATTATGAAATAGATTACTGAGTTTTAAAATGTTTGTGGGAAAGTGCAAAAAATTATTGATTTACTGTTTTTAAGGCTGTTTCCCAGTTATTTAACTTGAATTTTACCTTTTCTAAAATTTTAGAAGTACTTAGGGCAGGGATAGAGTCCAATGTTTCTTACACATTTTCAACTGGCTAGTACAATATTGGGGACACACCACACACTCAATAAATGCTTTACTTTATAGTAAATATTTCACTTTATATTGAACTGAAATGAAGTAAAAGAGTTCTGAGGCCCTGTAATATGATGGTGAAGTATGAAAAAAAAAAAGATGGTATAGTGGAAATGTTTGCATAGTGTCTCTTATTTGTGTCTGTTCATTCATGGTTAATACAAAGAAATCAAAGCTCTTACCATCCTTCATCATCTTCTACTTCTGTTTCGGAAATGTCATTTTCAGGAGTTTCAGCAATTGCTTGAGTGAGTTTAGATTTAAACTGGTTCAGTAGCGCAAGGGTCTGAAATAACAATTTGATTGCTAAGAAAATATTCTACTTGGATATAAAGCACTTACAAAAATGTTTGAATTTTGAAGGAAAATAACTGTCTTCAGGCTGTAACAATGATATTAATAAACCTTGACATTGTTCTGTTTGGATTTTTGGTGACATTTTTCCTCAGAGATAGTTCACCATTTTCTAATTCTGGGAAAATATATTTGCTTATGTAGAAGACACTTTCATTTAAAAAAAATTTGCTTATTACTAGTTAGGTTTTTAATGCTCCCCAAATAGAAAGGTAATTCACTAAGATATGTGGGAGCAAAAACAACCACAAACAAATATATTTTTCATTTAATAAATCTCTAAAAATGTAAAAATATCAATATTGAGAAAGTGGAATGAATGAACCCACTAGCTGTTGGAAGATGGGCAAATTGAATAATAGCTTTAGAAAGCTGTTGACATCTATCAAAAACTTGAATTTGATTACTCTCTGATGATGCAGTATTTCTAATCCTGCAAATATATTCTAGAAAAATAATCTGAAACAGAGAATATGGCTTATGTAGAAATATTCATATAAATGGAAAAAATGGAAACATTCAATGTCTATCAATAAGAAAACACATAAATTTGGTAACAAGCAATAGATATGCTATTATATTGTAATTAAAAATTATACCAAAAAGCATTATACTATATTTTTGAGTGAAAGAAGGAGTATCATGTTGAATATATTAAAAAGAAAGAAAGAAAGAAAGACAGAGAGAGAGAGAGAGAGAGAGAGAGAGAGAGAGAGAGAGAGATAGAGATAGATATCTCTGAATTCTTGTTTGGTTCCCATATCCTTTGTAGGCAAGAAGCACCAAGTGGTGACAATCTTAAAATTACATTGTTTCCTGGCTATATTTTACCAGCCTCTCCAGAATTTAAGCAGAGAACATGGGCTAGGAAAACGTTCTCTGTTCTACATTTTTAAAGAGTACATCCTTGTGAAGTGGCATAAAATACTATGTTTCTGAAAAATCAAGGGCTTAATAGTGATTTTTGCATGGTGAATTTGAACTAAAATTCTCACATTTCATAAGGAAAAAGATGTGTGACTGATTGAGTTAAACATGTGACTAGGCTGGGCATGGTGGTGCACACCTGTAATTCTATCCCCCCACCCCCCACCACCTTTCCTTTCTGTTGGTACAGGGATTGAACACAGAATCATGCTAAATTGTCCAGGCTGACCTTGTACTTGCAATTCTCCTGACTCAGCCTCCTGAGTAGCTAGGATTACAGGCATGCATCACTCTTCCCAGCACCAATTTGTTTTTAGAGCCAATTAATGTGCTACTGGCATTGGCTCAAAAGTGGGGAGTGTAACAAACAAACAAAAAATCTTCTTGGGCCTTTCTTAGCTTTTCCTATATTTGACTAGATTTTGTCTAGCTGCATTCCAAAACAAGAGAAGACAATGGGCAGGAAAGAAAACATCACAAAAATACAGACACACATTATAGGGAAGAAGCATCTATGTGGAGACATTTTTGTTTGGCATCACATGGGGAATTATTTAGTCTTCTGATTTTTGTTGAAGGAATGAATTGTCAATCATTTACAGCATGGCTCTTCAGCACAGAAACTTCTCCACTTGGAGAAGGTGCCCAGCTTTAGTAGACTGTTGGTGCATATCTACATTAGAGTCTCCCATTTTATGTCTGTGCCTCCACTTCTGCCCTGGGTCCCATCTACTCTTCACACTGCTGCCAGGTTGGGTAGATCTTCCCCAAATGCAAATGAGATCATGTCACTTCTGTTATGGTTCCTCACTGTCCTTAGGGTCAACTGAATCCTTCCTGTGAATCAAAAATACCTTTTCATAAACTGACTCCTGCCTATTTCTTCAGCCTCATCTCCTTCCTTCTCTTGGTTATAATATCATTCAGTTCTTTGCAAAGAGGACAAAGACTTTTCACATATTATTCCTTTTGTCTCTACTTCATCTGGTTATCTCCTATTAAACTTAAAATTTGGCTGACAAGTCATTTCTCAGGGAGACCTTTCCAAATTCTTAGGCTGTGTTTAGTTCTGTTACCCATTTACATTGTTCCCTGAACCTCTCCTTTTCATAATGCTTAATCCCTTCTATTGGTATTACTTGTTTAACTGGTTCCTTTCCCTAACAGTTTGGAAAGGGCAGCAATGGGTCTTTCTGTTGACCACCACTAATATAGTTATTAGTATATGATATATTTTAAATATTAGTTGCTTTAAGAATGGGGAGAAAAAAATGCATGAATAAGAGTGATCCTCAGCATCTTTGGTAGAATAGTTACTATGATTACTATTCAAAAGATTCTATGATTCCATGAAAACAAGTTGATAATGCACTTCATCTTATTTTCACTTGATGTGCCATTTCTTCTGAAAACTGCATAAAACTCAGTACTCTGTAATTAAAATTTCCTATACCAAACTTCTTGTCCAACTTTCCCTATGCTAAAAACTGATGCATGATCAGTTATACTATAAATGACACCTAATTACTGGTAATCTTTCTTTACCAGTAATTAGGTGTCATTTATAGTATAGTTTCTGATTAGTTTAATTTAAACAAATAGGTTTGGGCTTTTTAATTTACTTTCATTTTGCCTATTTTAGTTATTATGCCTAAAATGGTATGTCCTTGTATATATATGGCAACATCAAAATTAATTGATTTTGGTCTGCCCCCCTACCTTTTCAACATAAAGGGCTGCTGAAGAGATTTATTTTATCAAGTGCCAAATATTGCATGGTGTATGCAGCTGGCTCCCAAATTGTTGTGCTAGATCTTTCTCTTCTCATCCCTGATTTTAAATAATTTCCTAATATTGCTACCTAAAGATTCAGTGATTACTTGCAATAAACAGGGTTTATTACAGTGAAATCAACTTGTAGGTCAAATGCCTTATTTCTAGGTAGTTTACCATTTCAAATTGAGTTGGATAGCTAGCATATTACATGCTGGGCTGGAAGAGATTCTTCCATCATTTGCAATTACCTCTTTTCCATTTCATAATATTCACTGAATTTCTGAAGGTATGTGTCTATGAAGTTCCTGTACTTGATATGGGAGTACCAGGTTAAAACTTCAAAGTGTCAGGCTTTTTCACTTAAATGTCTGAAAAAAACCCTAGAACTTGGATCCTGATATGAGTGGCCCAAGTCCTTTGCACCCTATCCTATATAAATACATCCTTTAAAAAGAGATCTTGCTTTTCCCAATATAATCAAAATAGGCTCAATTTAGCAACACTGGAAAACAATGTATGTATGGATTTTTTTATTTTTATTTTTTGCAGTTGTAGATGGACGGGATGCCTATATATATATATATATAGTGATAAGGATTGAACCCAGTGTCTCACAAATGCTAGGCAAGTGCTCTGCCACTGAGCTATATCCCCAGCCCCAGGATTTTGGTTTGTTGAGGTTACCTGGTCTTCCCGGGAAGTTCCCTTTTTTGCCTGTTGCTTCCTCAAAGCTTCATACTTTTGCTTTTCTCTTCTATATTCTGCAACAGCACCATCTGGAATAGCTTCTTCCTCTAAAAAATAGTAGAAGAGAATAAGAATAAGTAAAACAAAGCTCTGTGGATTTATACTAATATATATGCTCATATCACTAAAGAGGAAATCTAAATTTGGGTTTGGTTTTTCTCCATTTAATTTCAAAACAAAAGTAATAACTTTCATCAGTTCCACAACCATTTCTTCCATTAGAAACTGACTGGTGTTAATTTATTAACCAGTTTTATGAAGATCTTTATTCTATCCCATACTAGTTTAATTTTTCTTTTCAGGCAAATGTAAGATCATAAAATCACCTATTTTCACTTTTAAAATAATTCACCTTACATTGTTTTCCTGCCTTATAAGACAGAACCTTTAAAATATTGGTTGATGTTACAATTACTTGTCAATTTCCTTCCCCAGTTACAATAACAATGACAAACTTCAACTTGATGGTACCATAGAAAATAAATAGATATATCTAACAAATCAGTCAGGATAGAGATCAGAAGCAGACAAAAATAATTTTCACCAAATTAGAATTTAGAAAATAAATCTATGGGTTTGATCCTGTAATAATTCCATGTGAAGATTAGTTAACATTTTATTTTCACATAAAAAATGTGGACAGTTTTTCCTAAAAAATATAAGTAACTAACACAATGGCTTATATGTATATATTATATATTAATGAATATTATGACTAAAAACAAAACTAATTAAAACAAAATAATATAAGCCTCAAAGAACCTATCACTTTTTGTCTTTGGAAAATAAACATGAATCAGATGTGATCAAGAAGACTGTTGTCAAATGGTGGTTATTAAGAATATAAGCAACAATAAGTGTTGGCAAGGATGTGGGGAAAAAGGCACACTCTTAAACATTGTTGGTGGGATTGCAAATTGGTTTAACCAATCTGGAAAGCAGTATGGAGATTCCTTAGAACACGTGGAATGGAACCACCATTTGACCCAGCTATCCAGCTCCTCAGTTTATACCCAAAAGATTTAAAAACGGCATACTACAATGATGCACTCACATCAATGTTCATAACAGCACAATTCACAATAGCTAAATTGTGGAACCAACCTAGAAGTCCTTTAATAGATGAATGAATAAATAAACTGTGGTATATATACACAATGGAATATTACTCAGCATTAAAAGAGAATAAAATCATGGCATTTGCAGGTAAATAGATGAAGTTGGGGAATATCGTGCTAAGTTAAGTAGGCTAATCCTCAAAAACCAAAGGCTGAATGTTTTCTCCAATAAGTGGATGCTAATCCATAATGGGGGTGGGAATGGGGAGCATGGGAGGAAAGGAAGAACTGTGGATAGGGAAATGGGGGTAGGAAAGATGGTGGAATGAGATGGACATCATTACCCTAGGTACATGTATGAAGACACGAATAGTGTGACTCTACTGGGGACAACCAGAGAAATGAAAAATTGTGTTCCATTTGTATACTATGAATTGAAATGCATTCTGTCAAGTATAACAAATTAGAAGAAACAAACAAAAGAAGACTGTTGTCTTTCTACTGAAGCCTAAGTTATTTGCTGCACTGTTACTTAGTTTGAGGAACATTACACATGTGTAATATATTAAAATCTTATTCAGAGAATGAACTAATAAATTGTCTTTTTGTGGTTATTTAATATGGGTTTGATAGAACTTGAAAGGAATAATTTGTTTTATAAACAATTCTAATGTACTCTGCTTTCAAGACTAACAGCTGTAAATGCCAAAAGCTGAGTAAATTAATGAACAAGGAGCTATTACAGAAATAATATCTGAGGCACATATGCTTAGAAACGACTAGCAAAGACAGGATGTTATAGATGTTGGTATATATAAAGTGATTCTTATAATAGGATTTAAAATTACTTTCATATTTTTCTTTTGAATTATATCTTCTTTGAATCCTATAATAGTTGGATTTGCATTGTCCTGAGATAAAGAACAAGCAACTTAACATCTTAGGATCCCCAAATGCAGCAGTTAATGCTCTGTTTTCCAGTCTGACCTCACAACTCTTCTTGCCACATTCACCTTGAAATCCTTTCACTTGGTTTCCTAAATATTATTCTTTAAATTCATCCTGCTCTCTTGAGCCTGAGGCTTTGCACCTGCTGTTTCTTCTTCCAGGAATACTAAAAACATTCCATCTCTACATTTTCCAATTAATTTTCCCCTTGCTTAATTCCTACCTATTCTTTAGATGTCAGCTTTGTTGCCACTTCATTCAGGTAGACTTTTTTTGATTCCAGTCATAAAGTTAGGTTTGGATGTTGCTCCTTTGAGCTTCCACAGCACTCTTTACCATTTATCACACTTAATGGTAATTTCCTGTTTATTCTTCTTTAATCCTCAATGGACATTAAACTCTTTGAGGAAAAGTCACATTTCCCTGGCACTGAGGGTAGTGCTTGGCAAGTGCTGGAAGCTCAATAAATAGTCAAACAAATGAAGTGGAGAAAAGTGGAGAAAGGGAAAATTAGCAGGTAGTAGGCTGATTCCCCTAACCCCCCAGTTTCACAGTTACAGCAATATTTGCCATGCACTTGGAATCTCCTGCTTCCTCACACTTAGGGAGCCAATGATATTTCTTTCTTTTTTTTTTTTTTTGCCATTATCACAGGAATCTCATAAAATCCTAAGGTAAATTCTGATAAGTATCCTTAGAACTGTCTAATGTTTTAATAGTTAAAACAAATACAAAAAAGAAAGGACAAGTTCTTTATTTAAGCAGAATTTCAGCTACAAATGATTGAAAACCTTTATTTTTTGTGACAATCTTAAAGTAAATGGAAAGGCTGATGGGTAGGAATTCAGCTACTCATGTCAGAGGTAAGTCAATCTCACAACCTTCAAAACAGATACAGTGATCTCATTTTAATGTACTTAACGTGGATTCCTTTAAATGTGGTCCTCTTTAACCAGGACCACTTGATTTCACTTTTTAGGACTGTGTAGGAAAAAAAGAAAGAAAGAAAGAAAAAAAAAAACTGTGCCAGAAAGAAGCCTTAAGAATCAATTTCAAAAAGTCAAGGATAGGTAAATTTAGATATATAATACAGTAAAGAAAATCTATAGCTATGCTATTTATAATATTAGGAAGTCTTTTAATAACAGAAAAAAGTAGTCATCTCATCTTGGAAACTGGTAATGATAAAAATTTTCTTCATAAGACTTTCTGTTATTATTTTAAGAAAAACAAATTCACAATCTAAATATATATGTACATGAAAAGGGATTTGCCTGGCAGGATAAATGACAAGGTATTTTTTAAAATTGTTATTGCATTTTTTTATTTGTTGTTTTTAGATACACATGAGAGAGCATTAATCTCCAGGATATAAAGAAACTAAAAAATATTTATACCCAAAAAGCAACCCAATCAATAAATGGGCAAAGGAACTGAACAGACACTTCACAGAAGAAATACAAATGGTCAAAAAATATATGAAAAAATGTTCAACATCTCTAGCAAGTAGAGAAATGCAAATTAAAGGTACACTGAGATTTCATCTCACTCTAGTCAGAATGGCAATTATCAAGAATACAAGTAACAATAAATGTTTGTGAGGATATGGTGAAAAATTTTTAAAGTAGCTATATTGAGGTATACTTCATATATAGTAAAATTCATTTTTGGTATACAATTTAATTAATTTGTTGTTGTATAGAGTATATAACTTCCATTGTAATCAAGATAACACAGCTTCACAGCTCTATAAAGTACCTCTTAGTTAATTTTCCTCTTCTGGCACCAGGCTTCAGTGATTTGCTTTCTGTTACCATAGTTTTGCCATAACCAGAAACTCATATAACTGCAATTAAACCACATGTGGTCTTTTTAAGTCTGACTTTTTTCACTAAGCAAATATTCTTGAGATTCAACTATGTTTTGGGGCTTTCCTTTACATAATTGAATAGAAGTTCATAGCATGGATATACTCTAATTTGTTTATTTTTTTTTAAATTTATTTTTTAGTTGTAGTTGGACACAATAAGTTAATTTTATTTATTTATTTTTATGTGGTGCTGAGGATTGAATCCAGGGGCTTGCAGGTGCTAGGTGCACTGCTGAGCCACAACCTCAGCCCTTGTTTATTCTTATGCCAGTTGGTAGACATTTGAATTACTTCCAGTTTTTGTCTAGTATAATGAATACTTTGATGAACATTCACAACTCTGTTTGTGGACATATATTTTAATTTATCTTGGGTAAAAATCTAGCAAATACCAGGTCATTTTATAAGAATATGTTTGATTTTATATGATACTGTCATATTGTTTTTTTAATACCTTTATTTTTAAATAAATTTTTATGTGGTGCTGAGGATTGAACCCAGTGCTTCACACATGCTAGGCAAATACTATACCACTGAGCCACAACTGCAGTCCTGTCATACTGTTTTTAAAACAGGTTGTACCATTTGGGCTGCCAGCCAAAATCAGCAATGTAGGAGAGTTCTAGATGCTCTACATCCTCAACTCTATCTGGTATTATCATTAAACTTTAGCCATTCTAGGTGGTGTATCTTATTATGTTTCTGACTCTCATTTTTCTGATGACAACTGATATTAAACCTTTTTATGGGTTTTATTGGGCATTCATATATCTTCTTTTGAACTGTTTGTTCAAATCTTCAGCCCATTAATTTTTTCGTCTTATTAATGTATTCTAAGAGTTTTAAAAATAGATTCTAGGTATAAGCCCCTGTCAGGAATATTTTCTGAAATGGTATCTCTCAGTCTGTGGTTTACCTTTTCATTTTCTTTGGTGTGTCTTTTGAAGAGCAGAAGTTACATTTTGATGAATAGTATTTTATCAACTTTTTGTTTTATATATTGTACTTTCTGCGTGTTCTCTAAGAAATCTGCTTGTCCCAATGTCACAAAAGATTTTTCCAAGAATTTTTCCTAAAAGAATAAAATTAATTTAGCTCTTTAAAAAGACATATGATTTATTTTGAGTTAATTTCTGTATATACAGATAAATGGTTCCAGCATTATTTGTTT